ATCTTGTTCTCTAGCCACCGAAGCGCTGCAGTTACCGCCTCACTTCCATTAGAATGCTAGATGGTGTGATGTCGTATGCTAGGCTGTCTTGCACTAATGATTTTTTATCGGTTTTCTCTACGAACCCCCAGGCACTTCTCTTTCCTGTATAGATAATCAGATCACCTAGGCGTGAATTGTCGTGAATCAACTGTTGGACTTCCACCTCCGTAGCACCCACTGGTCTTTCTCTGCACTCTCGGCCCAATGTGATCATAAACCTACACTGGTCAGACTTTTCCTCTGGTACTCTGACCCACTCCTCTCCTAATGTTCTCAAGCAAGCATATTTGTCTTATTGTGTCTTTTACTTGAGCCATCCACGATTTTACCTTCTCAGCCTCTGGCCCTTACCTGCAGCCAAAGCTTCACAGAAAGGATTGTTCTTTGTCTGTAGCTACTCTGAGGTATGACTCAGCTTACAGCTCCTTTAGCCTGTCTGTAATCCTGCTCGTAGAAAACCTTGCTAAGCACAGGTGAAACTGCAAATCCATGTGGTAGTCCTGGAGCTATAATACATGGTTCAGAGGCGAATGAGCCCACGCGGAGAGCAACCCGGCGAGTATACAAAACGGCTGCTATCCAGTTCACAAACCAAAGACAGACTCATTTTGCTATAAGCGCTTTCATCAAGATAACAGTATCTGACTGTTGTAAGCATCTCCTAAATCAAGTGCCGCTGCCACCGTTTCCTGTCTGATGTGGAAACCTTCAAAGGTGTTAAAGGCAAAATTAGCTGCTTTTGACCATGTGTCTAATATTAAATATTACTTTTTACAGTATATATATATATATATATATATATATATATATATATATATATATATATATATATATTTATATACATATATATATATATATATATAAATATAAACACATATATAGATATATACCAATACCTAGACCGTAGCTACGCTTTTTTTTTTTCTGTTTGTAATACACATTATAGGCGCCTAGCCACTCTGTAGAGAGGGAGACTGATACATATTGGATGTCTCGTGTAATGAAGTCAACCCTCCTGACTTAAACAAAATTAGTTTTAAGTACAGATACAAAGAACTCTTGCAAATGTTCATCTACGTGCAACTAAAATTCGTTTAATTGATGCCGGTTATCATATGACAATCATGTTTATTTCTCAGATCTAAGCTGAATTCACCAAGCAATACTAGACGTAGTTTCATCTTTCTTCAAACGTTTTAAATAGTTAGTGGACTAACCTCACTCCACATTGAATCATTCAGTCCATTTGCGCTTAGATCCCCTTGACTGACTGACTTTCTACCCCACCAGGACATCACACAAGCGATAAACACCCGATGACACAAAGTACCACCATGCGGATGAGAATCACTGGAGAGGTCCCAGAAACCGCGTTCAGACAATTGGCCATATTTATGACCTGCCTATATTGCGGCCCCTGGCAAAATCCAGGGTGGGGCTTCAAATAACGAAAAATTTTGTCCTAAAAAGGACGAAACATTTATTGCTAGGTAGCAAGATCTATGTGTAAATAGATCCCCTTATCTTGAAACGGCACAGCAGGTAGTGGCTGTTGATACCCGTTGTGTCTTGGTTTCTTATTCTTCTTTGGCTTTATGCATATTGCTCTTATTAGTAGACACCTTGTTCTTCTTGTAGTCTGGTCACGGTCGCAGATTCATAGTCATCACTTGGTTCTCAAAAATATATTACTTCTCGTAGAGTATTTAGAATATCAGCTTGATTCTTTGATTGTCCAACTTCCACAGCACCTTTATCTGCAAGCCTATCAACTAGCACATTTTCCTGCACACATTCGTGCCCCGGCACAAATATGAAACAATACTTTTACAGAACAATATAATTACAGAGATCTAACCTTACATAGGCCGTGATATTGAAAAGCTGCCTAAAAATACACAAGAGTACATGATCGTAACGTAATGCCTCAATGTTAATCAGGGCGATTATCTTGTTTTTCCTCACACATTTCCTAGTGCTATAAAAGCTCCTCTTGCCTTTTGTATTCGTATTTTAATGTATCTGTCAGTTCCCTCATATCTGTCTACATTACTGCTCAAATAGGTGTACGACTCGATATCTTGGAGTGAGATACCATTACTAAAGACCACGTAACTATTTCCCTGATTTATTCTTTTTGTCTTTGTCTTTTACTTATTGATTTTGAGACCTAGCTGCTGTGATTTCACATTAAATACATTTAATTTATGTTTCATCTGATTCCGTGAGTGGGACAGAAGCGAAATATCATCAGTGAAGTCCAGATCATCAACCTATTTTGTAGGGGTTCACCGAATTACATTCCTGGTGTTAACAATTGCTGTCGTAATAATCCAGTCTATTGCCAATAAAAATAGGATAGGCGACAACCGACATCTCTATCGCACACCTGCTTCTATTTCAAATGTATCTGTTGAGTTTCCCTTATGATGATCCGACATTTCATGTCTGTGCACGTTTCCTTTATTAGGTTAATAATTTTCTGTGGAATTCCATATTGCCGCATTAATTTCTATAGAGATTCCCTACCAGTGCTCTCATAAGCGTTTTTATAGCCAATCAATGCAATGTAAAGTTGTGAATTCAATTCAATGCTTTTCTCTATTATTATACTTAACGTGGCTATCTGGTCAGTACAGGATCTGGTTGGCCGAAGACCTGACTGTTTATCTCTTAGCTTTTTATCAATAGCATTTTTTAGTCTCTCACAAAAAAAATCATAGTTAATATGCTTCTAGGAACTGACAGCAATATAATTCTCTATAGTTTTTACACTCCCGTAGATCACATTTTCGGCAGTTTCACAGGATTTCCTTTCCCCAGTTTGTTGGTATTTCTATGGTCTCTAAGACTTTACTAAATAATATATGCAGCAATTGGACTCATGCGTTTTTATTCGCCTTAATAACTGCTGCTATTATCTTTAGCTTTCCTAATTTCCTCTTTATATGTTATCTCACAGTTAATATACAGTTCCATTTCTAAAGGCTGGATATCTGGAGGAACCTCTGGGGCTGGTCTATTCAGAAGTATTTCAGAATCTTCAGCCTGTCTGTCCATTTGATCTTTAGTGTTGGTGAGTACTTTTGCTGGACTATTTTTGAATGATCCAGTTGAATGACTATATTTACCTACTAATTTCATTGTGTTTCTTTAAAGGTCTCTAACAGAAAATATCACGTGGAGCAGACTGTGATCAACAGCAAGCGTGGCCTGGCGGCACCAAAGACGTATGGAGCATAGATTTTTGGTCTTACTGTTCAACCATTTGGTCCTTTCTGTGATCGTTTGTAGCCTAGGAATATTAACTCTATCTACTTCATCGTGCACACAGCTTGAAAGGATTCAAAATAAAGGAATAAATATCGCCGTGGGTTCTACATGAGATACCCTAATTAGAACAATGAGGCATATTCTTCGGCTGACATCGGTCAAAGTCTAGACTGACACTGGCACAAACCAAGGCCTATATTCGAGCTACAAATAACGATAGGCATCCCCTGCATGGTATTCTAAATAATTTAAGAGAAGACCTGTTAAAGTGTGGATTTTGTGGCTACAAAAGTGAAAGCTACGGGAACACTCCTACTGGACAAGTGAGATATTCTGAAGACCATATATAAACGAATGCTGACAGAAGACACAAAATTAGATGAAATAACATGGGGAATGTGTGCACCAGAAATTAAGTGTGAATCTGGCAAGAAAGGACTGATGAGAGGAGGAGAGCGATGCATGTCTAATCAATGTGTTAAGGAAACAGTTAGTATCTACACCTCAAGACATTTGCTGCAGGAGGCGGAGCATCTATGGGTATGTCTGGTATTCTATGATGTCGATTCTCAAATCAGTAATCAGTAATCTCGGAGGTTTTTTTTTTTTGCTGCTGCTGTCTCCGCTTTTTGTGCTAGATCATCTAAAAATTATCTTTTATCTGAACTTATTCGCCTCCTCACTTCCTTATAACTTCTGTGTATTTGTCATGATCTTTAGCTTTAGCAGCTCTAGTCTGCTTTATGTCTGCCTTTTTTTATTGTACTTTTTTTCAATCACTTTAAAGGTTTCAGGCGGTATCCACGCTGTATGTTTCCGTTCTTTCTTGCCAAAGACTTCTACACAAGATTTATTCCAAGTTCCCTTGATCTTATCAGAGCAGACCTCAGTGCTTACTTATTCCGCTAACTGCTGCAACACCTGGTACATATTATAGACTAACTGAAAATCGTTCCTTAACTTTTTTATCCCTAATACACCTACGTCAAACTGGTTTCTATAGTTATAAGCTGTTATACATCTTTTACGTTTCAACTTGATGTTACTTACCAACAGCAAATGGTCAGTAAATACATCGGCACATCTAAAAGCCCTAATATTATAGCGGCGCTGATAACTATAGACTAGACTTGAATTCTTTCAGTCATGAACAGTGCATTGTGAGTAATGTGACCCTCATCGTAAATCACAGCCTGCAAAGCACAGGGACTCCATTCAAAATCTGGTCTGAGTGTGACTAAGAAATCTGGTATGTCAATTGATTTTATCCACTTCAATTAGCCTCATTTTATTACTCATAATTCTGCCCCCCCCCCCCCCCCGCCACACACACTCCCACTCCGGGATTTAATGCCAAATCTGCTGGTACTGAAAGAGCTAGAAGCTTTGTTTTCCGTCACGTATCAACCTCTATATTTAGAGTCCATGAAGTCTTGTCACTCTTTTTGGCCGTGTTGGTGGTAATTCAGCCTATACAAATATTACCAATAAACACAGTCAACGACACGAACAGGTGAAGGACACACATGACTCATGGTATGAAATGCAATTTCAAATTTACAAACTTTTTAGAGGATGAAAACATCTTTAAAGCTACACCTTGCATAATATAAAGCTGCCAAATTTATTCATATTTTACACGATAAAATTATTAAATGTGCGACATGTTGCTTTATGATACTTACAGGCAATTTCATTGCTTTTGATACTGATTTAACAATAACATGGTCAAACCAGTCCCTTTCCAAAGAATCTGCTCCAGTAACTGTGCCATTGATAAAAACCCTGTCGATTGCTCCTCTCATGCCAGTGGTACAAGGCGTCACTTTCTGGAATGCATCCAATGTGATTTTCTCTCGAAAAGTTCCTAAAAAAAAAAAAACAATAGCAAAGTTACAACGATAATGAACACATTCACTGCGATACTCTTGTCTCCCCTTTCTTGATAACATAAGTTAGTAGGAGACATACATTGCAAAGTCCCTCAGACTGAAAAGGAAGTTGCGTTTATTGCTGTTCCAACAAGTGTGGCGTACAGTCGCTGTCCTCAGTACTTACTCCTTTATCTAAGGATCAGTTGCAACTATTGCCACATCAGGAACACACCTTAAACACGGACTCGGTTACCATCCGCTCTGGTCGTTCCATTTAAACTAGTATCTCGTATCTGAACCATAGTACAGCAAGTTTTCTCATCCGCCCTATCTTTCAATACAAAATCGCTCCTGATTCTGCCTTAATCCAATCGTTAATCCAACTCCAAGTACTCGCTCCCAATTTTGATGTTCACTGTTTACCGCAGATACTCTTCTCATCAACTAGATCTGTCTCTCCCACTGTTAAAACACCAACTGAACATTCCTACTTCCTCAACTTTAATCCTTTCGTCCTTCTTAGGACGTTATTTTTTGTTATTTGAAGCCCCACTCTGGCTTTTGCCAGGGGCCGCAATATAGGCAGGTCATCATTATGGCCAAATGTCTGAACGCGGTTTCTGGGACCTCTCCACGGTGATCCTCATCCGCATGGTGGCACTTTGTGTCATCGGGTGTTTATCGCTTGTGTGATGTCCTGGTGGGGTATAAAAAGCCAAGCCAAGCCTTTCTCTCCATTCACAAGTTTTTAGCTTCTAATCGCTCATTCATATACGAGAAAAACCGCGTAATTAGTACTTGGTCAGCAAGTTAACTACTCCGTCTATATTTACCATCGTGTCATTTAATAATTAAGGAATTAAAAAAAAAAAATAATAGTAAGACATTATTACATTTCGGTGGGGTGGGGGGGGGGGGAAGGGGGGGGGAGGGGAGTTTCATTTCACATTATAAAAAACTTAAACCGAGACTTGAAATGCTGCAGGTTGATGATAAAGACAAATGATTGAGTCGTAAACGTCGTAGCAGAGTTTTGTTTTTCTTCTGCTGCTGTTGCTGCTTCTACTTCTTCATCTTCTCCTTCTCCTATTCCTTCATATTCTTCTGCTTCTTCTGCTTCTTCTTCTTCCTTTCTTTTTTTTTTTTTTTTTGGTCTTCTTCTTTTTCTCCTTCTCATTCTTCTTCTTTTTTTTCATCCTCTCCATTCATTTCTTTTTTCGTCATCGTTTTCTTTTTTCATTTTTCTGCTATTTGCCCTTCACATTTTTTCTTCGGCTTTTTTTCCTTCTTTGAACTCTGACTTTAAGGGAAACGCCTTTAAATAATCGTCTCAGAATGCACATGGGATACCAGCATTTTAAAGCCGGAAGAACTTCCACAACATATGATGATAAGTCAGGGCGACATTACGCAAAAGAAGATCAAAGTAAGAGAATGAGTTTTGGGTTTTGTACAGACTAGCCCGGGTTTGGTTTTTTTCATGGGACATCTGAGGAAGCTCTTGTGTGTAGAAGCTGATAACTTATGGTTTAAAAGCTAAATTTTTTAATGTATCAGCCAGTTAGAACCTCTCTGATATATTTAAAGTTATTAAAATAAGTTTAAACGTATAACGATATATGAAATATGGGTTTATAACAACAGTGTAGAAAAAAAAAGCAGTAATTAAAGTGGACCAGAATCAAGACACCGCCAAAAGATGTGTAACAGACCACTGCAGAGATAAAACATATTTACTAAGAGAATAGCATTGTATCTCAGATTATTTCTAGGATCTATTCAACAACTGGAAAACATTTTTTTTTTACTTGCATATATACAGTAGAACCTCCAACGTTCACAAACTCCCTATACTGACCAGTATCTTATACTGACTTTGCATTTTCACTGATCGGGTGAGCATGACACATTCTCAGGAGAAGAAAATATCTAAATGCTGACCGACACTGTGATTTGCCTGGTGACCACTTGGACTATGAATGAATGAATGATCGAATGAATGATCGAATAAATCAAGAACTGACGTCACGTCACTCGGGTCATTCCCAAACGTGCTCCGTCCCCTTGCTCAGTAACCAACGAAGAGGTGACATGCTATTAGTATCAGCTGCAACCAGATTAGAACTCCGCTTCTGATTCCCATTCAAGGTTGAATATTTTTAGGGACTTCTACAAACATATCCCGCCGAATCAGTCTTCTAGCGTGTGGATTCTATATCTGTTATTTTGCAATGCCCATTTGATCTCATGTGTCCGTCACCATATCCAATGTTTCATATAGTAGCTCACCGCCCAGAGAATTGGCAGCAGCTTATCATCAGCCTGCTGGTTACTCGCACACCTGAATTTTCTAGACGGAAAATTCATGACATGCGCTTGATCAGGAATTCTTCTGAACTGATGCATGCCACTCTGCGCACAGGACACCGGTTTCATTTTTCCAAAGCAGGTTCTGTAAGTCAGTTACAGTTAAAACGTGTTAGGCTGTACTACAAGAACATCCCACCTGGCACTCCAAGTTAAGGGCGAAATCCCAATAATTTAGTTATGAAACCAATGTACGACCCAGTAAAGTCCCACAATTGCTATTCACATACAGACTTTAGCACTGGGTAGGTATGCCTATAGAGCAAAATTTTGGTCTCCCGCAGTAAATTCTGAGTTTCAGAGGTGAGTATCTCATCAGGTTAGTTGTCTTAATCAAAGGGAAGACTGAACGAGGACAGTATAGATTGGCTTATGCAACCAAACAAGGTTGAGCAACGAACGTGTTGAAATTGAATCATTACAGTCAGGAAAGTCTTAGTCACACACACACACAAATATATTCAGTGTATATACAGCTCTAATAGTAATACCCGTCTACAGAAAAATGTTTAAAAAAAAAAAAATCTATTTGGGTGAGAACACTTCCTAATGAATGTTCACATTTGTACCTGAGGTTAAATACTAAATATAAATTATGCGATTGAATTCGGTTTAATGGTATCGAGTACGACATTTAATTTTGCACCAATCAGATAGTGGTCACTATGACTCTCAGCTTCTCTGTAGCTTTTAGCATGTTGTAAGTTTGCTGCATTTCTATTATTTACTAGCTGTAACCGGACCACGCGTTGCTGTGGCTTAGTTTATCTAAATGGAAAAGAAAGAAAATCGAAATCGCACATATCTAACATAGTTAATGTCGCAATCATTGTCTGCGCTGATGTTGAGATGGTCTTTGATGAAGCCCCTTCCCCCTCAAATCTACTGATTACTCTCTCTCCCTCATCGAAGGTTTTTTTGAAAAGAAAGCCATTACAAATCACACGTTTTAATATGGATGATTTTGCAATCAGATATAGAGATAGTCTGGTTTGCTGACTCTAGAACACAGAACATATAATTGTGTTATAATATTATTGGTCGTTTAAAATGTATTTGGATATCAGATGCTAAAGCTCTTTGTATTTTTCAAGAGACGAAAATATAGCCTACTACCGTACTTGCAAATAACCAGGTAAACCAATCGGACACTTTAGAATACAATACTAGTATGCGAAATTGTCTTTTGTTGTTGTTGTTGTTGTTGTTGTTGCATTTAGTGCCGCATGCCAAGTGCTGTCGCCACGACTGTGCAGGTAAGGATTCCCCCCCCCCCCCCCAGTATTTGAGAAAACAAATCAAAAGCGGTACGGGAGCCCAGGGTTTAACAGTTTGGCCAACCAATCGCTCCTCCGTTAAGTGCAACAACGACAAAAAAAGAAAACTTTTTGAGGGGTGTGTCCCGACTACTGTGTCCCGATTCGAACACAAATCAAAACCGCAGGCAATTGTTTTCTCATAGAGAGATAACTTCAAGTATTAATGACACTTCACAGTAACGTTGTGCAGAAAATGAATACGTATCGCCGGCGGATGAGAAATTTCATCAAGACTACTTACTGTGCATGCGCGTGTATGAACGTAGCTTTAATGAAATGTCACTTTAAAAACAAAATATTAGTTTCGAACATTTTTCAAACAAATCAGCCACCTATTTCAAACTATGACAGGTAGCATCCCTAAATCGAAACAAACATATCACATCATTGCCAGGTTTGTTTGTGTAAATCTTTTCTATGAATTCTGGTGCTGCTTGTCTGTAGTCCTTTCGCTACGGTGAAGTCAATTAACCTCCATCCACTATCGTTTGAATTAGTATGTAGGCTTTCCACGCCTGCTACATTTTTGAAGATGTTTTCTCTTCCTAGTTTTGCATTGCTATCTTCTAAGACAATCAATATGTATCGTTTTTGAGTTAAATCTATGATATTCTCAAAGAGATCATATGAATCTTCTTTACCGTCAGTGGGTGCATGCACATTAATCATCGTGATATTTTTCCATATTCCTGTTATTCGTAACATACTGATCATATCACTAACAGCTTCAAAGTTTGACATCCTACATAAGTTAGCTAACTACTTTGCTACAGTCCCTTGAGTGGTTAGCTCACTGAGTTTCTGCACGTGGATCCGCATCATTGTTATAGAGTTTACTGGTGTTTTAAATTATTCTTGGGGTAATATATGACAGGTGACTGAAAAAAGTATGGATTTATGCATAAGATGAAATTCTTAATTTACCATTTCATTTCCAATATGTTATTCCGTTTAAAATACCTCAAAGTTAAAAATCAGAACTTACCCCTATCATAAGCAAAGGTTTAAAAAAAAAACGCATCCATACTTCGTTAACTGAATACTGAAGAACGTTGGCTATTAAAAAGGATAAAACACAGAAAACTGAAATATTTTGGTCATTTTGAGTCGTCACAAATGTTTAGAGAGAACAGAGGGGTATATGTCTAGGAAGAGAAGAAGAGAAAGGCCAAAGAGAAAATGGGGTGCAGGATGTAGCGGATGATCTCCAGATGGGTGTATCGGATGCAAAACTTCTTGCTTGCAATCGATAAGTTTTCTAGAGAGTTGTTATGGGAGCAAGGTACTGCAAAGGACATGCTACTGACTGACTGACAACAGTCTATGGGATTAGAGAACACAGAGGTAAGGAATGGTTAGAAGAAAATACTCGGACACCCCACACATTTTAACTGACAGGGAAAGGAAGGACACTAGAAAAGAATGAGCATCACTATCAGGGAAATGACAGAAGCTTGCAATTTTTTGCAAAAGGTAGCTAGGCATTGTGTGCACTACTACTGTATTGAGTTTTGCCAAAGTATTCAAAATACTAGGCCTTGACTGCAGATACACTAACAAATTTACACCATCTCACATCTGTGACTGAAGAATGTAAGTAAAAAAATACGAGCATCAACATCGAAAAGACAGAAGTAATGTCAATAGAAAGAAAGAAGTTGAATTCAAATATAGAATTAGGTCATACTATATTGAACAGGCATTTGAGTTTTATTATCTTGGTACAACATTAACTGAAGATGGTAAATTGGACAAGGAAATTTACACCCGATGCAATAAAGCAGTTCAAGTACTAGGACAGCTACTCCCCCACCCCCTCTCCCCCTCCCCCACCCCCCAGCCTTTACAGACTAAGGAAATCCCAATCAACATAAAGAAACGCCAGAAGAGTGACCAGAAGAGAAAAAAATCAGGAATGAGTTCATACGTGATATAATTGGCACACAACCTATTTTAAATTGCATACAAAGACAGCGAATCAAACGGTTTGCTTTCTTGGAGAAAATGCCATCTGATGCTATGCCATACAAGACATGTACGAAAAGAGAAAAAGGACGTAGACCAAGAGATTTCTAAGAACAAGATGGGAAGATAACATCAGAGAAACAAAGTCTACAGCACCACGATGTGTCTATGGTCCAAGAAGCCAGAAGAAAACATTTCTCTTTCGGCCAGTAATTGTACTTATTCAATAAAATATGATATACTGACATAACAATATAGGTAATATAAATATCAAGTAACAACACAAAAGCATTGAATAATAAAGCATATATTTAAACATACATATGTACGTGTTCATGCATACAGATATAATACAAAAACACAACATATACATACAGATATAGCACACATACAGACACATACACGCAGACACACATAACTACATACATACATATATTTATACACACACATACATGCACTGACACACACACACACACACATATATATATATATATATATATATATATATATATATATATATATATATATATAAACACACACACACATGCACAAACTTTCATACACACCACATGCAAACCCTTATCATACATATTCATTATATATATTAATTAACAAAAATGGAAGAAAACTATGAACAGCAAGTGCATTGGTGGGGAGGGGGGGGGGAGGAGTGGGGAAGAAACATGTTATCATTACCTCCAACTGTTAGCAGAAAACCCAAGTGAATGATCATCCACATTTTTGTTAATGAGCGGGCACAAAGTTCGGCTTCCTCTAGCAGAACTGATCTTCACTGGCTTTACTGTGATTCAAAACTGTCGAGACATTATTGAAATGTTATGTGTTAATATTCTTGCAATATCAAATCTCAGTATTTCTGCTACATTGACTTACATAATACCACCACTACTAACTGGTTGCTGGCATGCAAACTGATGGGGAAACAAAAGTGGCAGGATGTCGAGGTTGGGCGATTTAAAAAACAAGGGGTGGGGGGAGTTGGATGGGGGGGGGGGGGGGGGGGGGTTTCAAGTGTGTTTAGGCTAACACTTTTGTACCGTGATGCCCCTCCCTTTCTACATTTTTGCCTTTGACGAGATTATATACAACTGTTGTTACGCCGCCTGCCTCTCTCTACGTCTCTTCTTTCTACTCCTTTTTTTTTTCTTTTAGCGTGGTCATACGTACATTTTTATCATTCTCATGTACATCTTTCTGATCCGCATCTGGGTAGTGTGTCAAACAACGCTCATGTTTGCAATCGACACCTATTGGTTTATTTTCGCCTCTCTCTCCCCTCTCTCACATTCTGTCGGTTACGCCCGTAGGTGCCAGAACCAGGGATAATAAGTTCATTAAAGCACTTCACAGACCCCCCCACCCCCCCCCCCCACCCTTTCCCATCTTCCATTATTTTTGGGTGAAAGGAGCCCAACAAAGCACATTTTTTTTAAAGTATTTGTTTTATTTCTATTAGGGAGGTGAAGATGGTGTGGTTAAAAAGTAGATGGGGAGAAGGAAGGGAGGGGGGGGGGGTGCTCAGTTAACCCCACTTCATTATTATTTTACTTCACTGCGAAGCAACTTGGGGGGGGGGGGGAGGGGGGAGACGGCGTTTTATATGTTGAAGAGGTCTGAGCATGGCCACTTAGTTTTTGTGCCTAGGTGGCGGGGAGGCCGAATGTATTGGTGGTGGGGAGGGGGGGTGTTGGACTTTTTGACTTAGGTAGGGGGGGGGGGGTGGATTCAGTACCCCGTTCTCCCGATTTCCATTAAAAAAAAATTGTATGCCTAGACAATTGTTAACTTGAAAAAAGTGGGGGGGGGGGGGGGGGGGGGGGGGGCGCGCACCTGAGTTAAGCATTTTCAGTATCCATTTCTATCTCTCTGGTTTTCACTCTCCACCTGTTACTTTACCTTGTCCGTCTGTCTTTCCTTCTTGCCTTACTTTCCCCCTCTCCGTTATCCTTCTCTGTGTATTGAATTAGCTAGTATAGAGATTCCATAACTGATATGGCTCTCCCTTGTAGAAGACACATAATATGTTGATGAAGCTGATTATGCTCAGCAGGTTTAAGCTTTTCTCATTCGCTTTGTGTATATTTTATCTTTCGCCCTCTCTTTGTGCCAGCAGCCTCGTCATCATCATCATCGTTATCACCATAATCCATTTTAACTGTCCCCTGGATGTGCGCCTTTTTGTGAAACAGCTAAAGAATTGAAGTCATACATGATTTTTCTTTTGTGTTCACCCTTTAAAGGACGGTTGGCAGCGTATGCTTTACAGCTGGCCTGTGATATATGCGCCTTTTAGCCCAACGCATCCGATTTCAGCAAAAAAAAAAAAAACCTAATGTGTTGTTGCTTACAACACACTTTTTAATGGGTCTCGGAACACACACGTGGAAGTTTGAAGAAAAAAAATATATAAATACAAAAATAAGAGTTATGTTGAATTAGACCCAAATATTATACAACCCCCCAGCCCCCCACAAATATACATATATATATATATATATACACATATATATATATATACACACACACACACACACAAGCTGCGTATCGTTTACAGGACGTTGCCTAACCAACCTTAGCATGTTTTGGTAGTTGTGGTTTTTCTAGGCAAATTTTACGTTCAGAAGTTTGACTCTGCTACTAAACGGTCAGTGCTCGGTACCACTGTCGAAACCAACACAAGACAAATCGTCTGCAGCTGTGATCGAATCTGGCTCCCGACATTACGAAGCACGCTTGCAACGCCTAAGCCACAGACGCCGACACACACACACACAGCTGAGTTAAATTAAATGATTTCTTATTGCACTCCGGGCAAACAGTACCAAGTAATATCACGCAGGACACAATGTGTGGGTCTTGAAAGGAGAGTAAACTTACTGGGTTTTTGAGTTTTGAACAATAGATCAACATCATGGCACAGAGATGGTAGCCCATAAGTGCGCCGCTCTTCTTCTAACTCAAGTCTGAGTCCGAAAAGGCTCAGCACAGGCTCTGTAGCACCGGCGAGGATTCTGAAATACTTTGGGTAGATTTTTAACTTCAAATTTTGCCCGGGCATTTCCGTTAGGCTACTCTTTTCGATTTCCAACTGCCAAGGGATTTTTTACGTGCGCAAGAATGCACACTGGCGTCTGACCTGACTACCCAGAGACCAGGGGGAATTACTAGAAGTCCTAGTCCACGGGGAAAAAAAAATTCCAGGTCTTACCGGGGATCGATCCCGGAACCTCTAGCACTTGAGGCGGGCACCATGCCTCGAGATCACGCAGCCCTCTAGAGTAAACTAGAGTAAACTTTCTGTGATTGGAGAAAGTCATAAAAGGAATTAACTACAGAAAATGCTCAAAAACTTATTAGGTGTGCCATTTATAATCCTGTGTCAATGTAACCACTAAGTTCCTCTCACCAATCTGCGTAATATAGCTGTATGGGTAATTTGCTTTGCTAGATTATTTATTACAACATCATGAATTAATGACTTCATAATTAATTACGCAAGATTTTGTATTAATAATATTGTTTTACAATTAAATGATAAAGCAGTAGTGCGACCCATACACACACCCACACACAAAAGCGCTCCGGTTACCTACTGACACATGAAAATATGCTTTAAATGTTTTTGTTTTTTTGTTTTTTTAACATAGTGTTATTTGCTTCTAATAATATTAATGGACAAACACTTTGCAAATTCTTGTCAGCAAAACACAACAGTTATCTACAAGCATATCCTTTCTTTGTTATTCGCTATCATCTTTAAAAAAAATTACGTTGAAGGCTACAGTATTGTGAGTTATATCTTTGAAACCCACAACCAGTGTTGCAATTTTCCATGTATCTGTCACTATTGCCTGCAATTCTTCTCTGCTTTCAGTTTCGCGTGTTTAGGACAGACTATCAACTGGGCTGCCTCCATGAACTCGCATGTCAGCTGCAGGACCTTAATGGTTTCTCAAAGCTTGCTCTGTACTCTTTGCTTTTGAGGCCGTGTCTTTTCGCAGTTGGAGGTAGAGTGAACAGGCCTGCAGAATGTGCACAGGTGTTTGTGATCCCATATGAAAGGCACACCTACACACATTTGGAAACTTTAGTATTTATTTTAAGCAAGCTGTAGTTGATCCTGCAGTGTCTTGTTCTAGATGGAAAATTGTTGTATGTTGCTTTCTGTTGAGTCTGCTACTGGGGTCTTGTGAATGTTTACTATTGGTTTCTTCACTCCACAATTAATTGTATTTTCCATTCAGACGTGTTATGATTTCTCGTAATCACAATGAATGGGCAAGTTCTTCATCCTGTGTTCCATTTTTGCAAGTCTGTCTGCAATGTCATTTCCTGGTGTGCAGCAGTGAGCCAGGATCCATTGGAGAACGATTTGGTTGTTTTCTGAGAGTTGATTTAGCTGGCGGGTCAGTTCTCTCTCTATGTTGTCTCGTGGATCCCCTGGAGGACAAATATGCAGTTACACAGGAAAACGAAAACAATTTTGCTTTTTTAAATTTTCCTTTCCCAAAGCACTTTGGTTGCATAAATAATTGCTTCCAGCTCTGCTCTGAAGTTTGTTGAGAGTGTGCAGGTTAGGATATTTAATTCTGCCTCCGACTGGAAAACTCCACCTTACACGGGGGGGGGGGGGGGGTCGAACCCGGGTCTTCCGCTTGAAAGCCTGATGTTGTAACCACTGAGACAGCAGCTCTTCGATAAATTAACAACACGAAAATTGTACATTCTCACCGACAAAGAGAAACAAATCCAAGGGTGTACACAATGAAAATGTACATCATTTTTGAATAGTCACATTTATATTGTGTGTAAATTATAATGACTATAAGTTAGCATCAAAAATGCTTAACACAGTGTACACAGTGATCCATTAAAAAGTTTAAAAAAAGGAAAACTAAAGAGTAAAAGCTGAAAATATAGCATCTATTTTTAAATTCTTTAGCCTCATAGTGTGACAGTTTTAGGCTCGCGGGAAAATGTTGTTAGGGCTATGAAGGTTGTGCTTTGGGCATTGTTCTCGAGAGGTGATTGGCTGTTGTGCAGAGACAGATCAAGCCATGTGGGTCAAATCAACGTAAAAGGAAATAGATTTTTTTAAACTTTACGTCTGTTTCAATCATTAACGCATAAAGTGCTTACTTAAAACTAGTGAGCTAGCTAGCAGCCATTTGTATACGTAAACCAGGTCGCCCCTGCTGATATGGGAATTTCTGGTGTTACCCTTATGACTGCCTCATCAGTCAATGCAATATGGTGTACATATTGCCAGGCAAATAACCATGTCGTATAAGGCGTTTACTTAGAAATAGTGAGCCCGTTGCCATTGTATATGTTAATTAGGCTTGTACTGCGTTAATATGTATTTGAGAAATGCATATACAATTAGACCTCACCGCCTCAATTGCAATGATATATAGTTGCTAAGGAAATCATTAAACAACAAAATAGCCATTGCCATAAAATGCATTTAGTCATTATTGCCTTTCATTTTAATGGGACGTAAGCTTAACATCAGTCGGCTCTGTGGCTAAGTCGATGCGAAAGCTTCGCTTCGCTTCGTAATGCCGGGATGCCAGGTTCGATCCCAGCTGCGGGCAATGCGCCTTGCGTTGGTTTCGACAGTGGCATCAAGAAATCCGACCGTCCAGAAGCAATGGCAAACTACTTGATGTAACTTGCCTAGAGAAACCATACAGCAGCCAGAGGCTGTTGGAGTTG